TGAGCAGCATCCGGTAAAGCCTAAATACTCAATTTGTGTAAAGTTCAATAAATCATTGTTAATATACTTTAGCTCTACATGTTATTAAAAGACTTTACTCAATTTTGAACTTTTGCTTTTCCTTGGTTAAAAATATATACTATATAAAAAAACGGCAATATCTGCGCCATATCCACACCCGATGTTTCATATGTGCTGTGTTTTGTTTAACTATCAGATTGGAACCATCACAAAGAACTTTATGTTCTTTAAGTAATTAATGTAAGTTCCTTTGTGCAAATGAATATAATAATAACATATTGTCTGACAATGATTCATATTTACTTTAAAGTATCATATTATTACAATGAAACACGGTATCTGTACATATATAAGCATATATATTCATACAATATAACAAAATAATACGTGATGTGCATCTCAAGTTCATATTTTATTTCGTAGCGCCGACATAATATCGTTGCACTTTTTATGAGCCCTCGAACCGTCTCTGGCAGATATCAGTAGGAATAGACAGTTTTATTCCCATGATATTTCCAAATGCCGATTCTACGTCTCGATACAAACAAAAACAATCAAATATAGACTCCAATAACCTCTTGTTGTATTCGCACAGAAACGAAACCTGTACAGAGATATAAAAACATTATAACGCTCAAACAGTTTACATTGTATGCTGTATTCACGAATAGGTACTTGGTAACAGAATACATACTTACAGAGATTGTAATAAGTGGTGGCTGCGGTTAGAAAGCAAACTGCCATAATGCCAAGCGACGTATTGCATCGAGCGACTGTCCCTACTCGCTTCTCGCAAATCGCAGGAAATTTTATTCGCGATTACTTGTGTTACTCTCGTTTTAGCCGCAATTACAGATAATGGCGGTTTTCTTTTACTCTTAAGCGATATTTAATTGAGATTATTGCTAAATGTTTACTTGGCCGGTGAAGCTGAAGTGGGTAACGCGATTATCGTTGGTGCATAGTAAATGGGTGGGCCAGTGAGATACACTCAACTCGAAACGCTGTTAATGCCATCTCATCACTAGCAACTCATCTTCATCATCAGCCGTAGATACAAGATCATGTCTTTCCACAATTTCCAAAATAAAAAGTAAAATATTTTTAAGGACGTAAGGCTATAATTAACAACCAAATTCGCTTGTTGCCATACGAAAGATATCAACGACATAACAACAACGTGCTATATATTTTATTAAAGAATAACTTTAAAAAATTTTAAACATAAATACGTTTTTTACTATCCTTGAAGTTAAAGTAAATTTGGCTAAGTTAAACAAGATTATGGTAATAAAGTGTTTACTCAAAAATTCGCAAACTAGCATCCGTGTATAATACGAATAATGTTTTCGTAAAATGTAATATTGTTGATATTGAAACGTTCAACGATATTGTAATAAAATATGTTTTTAAGTACAGTAGAGTTTAACGAAGTACTTTGTCAATAAGTCGATAATGGCCGACTGGTCGGACCGGTCCGAAGCGACTCTCTTTTTTTGCTGTAACTCGGTAGCATCCGTCCAAACTGGTCTCTCCATTTATAACAACACAACATCCATATGATATACATAATATGTATCATATATCCTTACTTGCATTTAAACTTCTTCGTATTGGAGTTGGTTTACGTACAATCGTAATGTATTATACAGTAGATTAATTAGATTAATATAATTATTAATAAGAATATTGTCCCATTGCCAGGTTTGGATCTCAGTAGTTAGAAAAGGATGCAATAGTCACAGCGCTTCCTTCGTTCTGAATAAAACTTCTACTGATGTGAAATACAACCGTGTAAGTATATGTAGTATTTAGTAGTATTTTTTCAGACTACAAGAATATATAACAATATAATTTTAGAATCCGGAATTTTTAATAATTAATTAGAAGCGGATATTTGACATCGTTTTGCACAGCTGACACGTTTATCTCACAACACCCAGTTAAGGAAGCTATAGAAGGAATTTTGACGAATATTAAAAAGTATATTTTATACACATAAATTGCTTCCAAATAGGCGAGTATTTCAATACAATTCATAGAAGTATAAATTTTTTTTTTTTTCATGAATTCATATTCGTTCGACGCGGCAAGTAATTCGTGTACACAAATAGTTGGTTTTGTTTAAGAACGGAAAAAATATATGATAATATATATAATAGATAGATATAGCTAACATAAAGATAATATATTTGAATTTTATTATTAAAAATGTTTTTGACTGCTTTCAACTGGCTGACAGAGAATAGTACTGAACATGTAAATTTTTACACTTAAGATTTAGAATCAACTCTATTCTTGTAATAAGGCCGGTCCAAAGCACCAAATTTGTCTGTACCAATGTATATTTCTATTTGATACTTTTAGTCGAGGTTGTGCTTATTGTTTGTGTGTCTTTGTAACACTTCAGCTTGGTGCACTACACACTCGTTTAAAATCCTTTATACTGTTTGTTTGTCTACATTTATTAATCGTAATAATAAATAGTAAACCGCTAGGTTTGGGATTTGCTCAAACTCCGTCTGAACCTTGTGTTTTTCACAAAGAAGTTTTCGAATGAAGACTTTTTGGTTTTGGCTGTATATGTTGACGATATTGTTATATTGTGCAAAAATGACACATTTGAAAACTTCAAAAATGAGTTGGAAAAATATTTTTTAACCTTAAGATCTTGGTTTGAGAAGTTTCATTACAGGAATTAATATTTCATGTGAAGAGAATTGGTTAAAATTATCCCAGAGAGTCTCAATGTTACGTACATTGAGACTGTTTTGAAGAAATTTGACACGCAAGAGTGTAAAGGTGTTTCAACACCACCTTTTAAAGGGAAATTAGAACCTAACGTGGGTAAATCTAGTTACCCTTATCAGGAGCTGGTTGGGTGCCTCATGTACTTGGCAGTCAACACAAGGCCCGACATAGCCTACACTGTAAGTTATCTCAGTCAGTTCAACACCAGTTTTGATGAGGTACATTGGAAAGCTGCGAAGCGATGTCTTCAATATTTAAAGAACACTAAAGATTTTCTTATTCTTACAGAAAAGCAGAACTTGATAAGTTGCTTGGTTATTCGGATGCAGACTGGGCCAATTGCCCAGTAGATCGACAGTCGTACACCGGTTTTTATTTTCAACTTGGTGGTGGTCCCGTATCCTGGGAATCTAGAAAGCAGCCCACCGTTGCTTTGTCTTCTGCGGAGGCTGTATATATGGCTTTACCTTCAGCAACTAAAGAGGCTTGTTTTCTTAAAAGATTCACATACGACGTAATATGTATGCCTATAAAAGTTGTTATTTATTCGGACAGTCAGAGAATACAAAAGTTGGCTTTGAATCCAGTTCATCACAGTCGAACCAAGCACATTGATGTCAGATTTCATTTTGTTAGGGAAAAGATAAATGACAAAACTGTAGAACTTATGTATATGTCTATATACAGATCGTTTACCAGACGATGCTCTAACTAAACCTTTAGTTTCTTCTAAACAGTTGAACTGTTGTAAAGGCATGGGTTTAACTTAGTGATAACTAAGGGGTATTTAACTATGTTTGATTAAAGGGGCATGTTGTATTAACTCTTTGGTAGATAGTCAAAATATTTTAAAACATGAACTCTGTCCTTGTAACAGTTCAGCTCTTTACATGGTGCACTACACATTCGTTTAAAATCCTTTATACTGTTTGTTTGTCTACATTTATTAATCATAATAATAAATAGTAAACAGTTAGGTTTGGTGTCTCTCTAAACCCGCAACTTCTCAACAGTTTGGTTTTAAAAAAAACTGGTAAAATCAAAGGCAAAAGGTGACACAGGTCGAAAATGAGTCTAGGTACTCATATTAAAATGCTAATACATCCAGATCAACTCTTTTCACAAATTATACTAGTTAGGTTTAACTAATTTTCTAAGGAGTGTCTTTAAGAAGGTATACATAATAGTTTTTCACTTTTTATAATGTGATATTTATTTGCTTACAAGGGTTTTTGAATTGATGGTAATTATAATTGCAATAGCTTTAGAGACGAGTCAAACCTGTATCAACACGTCCGCAGCTAGGTACCTACATGGATAGTAGAAACCTACTAGGATGGGGTTGCACCCATACGAAAACCGGTCCGAGCCGGGTGGACCGGTCCGGACCGGTATCACATCGCTCCATTAAAATCTATAACTCGTCAGATACAGGTATATGTATACTTACAACTACATAATGATGCTTCGGGTTTTAAAATAGAGTTCCTTTTGTTCTTGTTCAATGTGTATGTTATGGCTTTAGCGTCGTGTCGATCTTGTCGATCTTTCTGCGAAGCAGATTCTTCATTGGGGGTTTTGGTGTGAAGGAACAAATTGAAACAAATGTTTTTCCATTATTGAAACTATGTATTTTTTATTCCAATAATTTCTACATTTTCTTTTTTACTGTCTATCAAATAAATATCAATTATAAACAATTGATACATTTATTGTTATTGTTAGTTTTGTATATGTCGACATAGTCAAGTTTAGAAGTAAAATGTTTTGTAGCATTTAAAATATTTGATGAAAGTGAACTCTAGTACTATGATATTGTGCGTTTAGAACACTGGACCCTACAAACATTTAGATTTCGTTTAAAAACTGTAAGTCTATTGATGTAAACATATTGTAGTTATTACGCTGGGTGAAGAAAATGCATTCAACTGCAATATACATTTCGTCAATAAAGGTACTGTTAGTACAAAATTCCTCTCAACACATCACCACTGGACTATAGACGCAGCTTTGCGCGGCGATAGAAAACAATCTTACAAAAAATTACAATCTTTATATTAACTTAAATAACTTAATACTTTTTATAACTATAATATATAACCTGAGATCTTTGCAGTATAATATGGCGCGTCGGCGCAGCGGTGCGCCCGCGCCGTGGCCCGCGCTGCGGCAGCGCGTGTCACGGCGCGTGGCGATGCGCCGGCGCGCCCGCTCTTATTGCCTCCGTAGACCGGCTCAACTCTCTGATACTATACATCTCTATATCTGCATGCGTGCTCCCTTACATAAAGTATATCTTTCCATTTAAATTTTATACATTACAAAAGTAGTATCACAAACAAATGTACGAACTAGTACAATTACGAAAAAACGTCCACATATCCTCGACCTCCGGCCGCGCGGAGATCGTCTCTAATAAATACGATTACGATACATGAAAATACGAACTCTACGCAACTTCAGAATAGAATCGAACTCGAAACAAAAAATAATACCTAAGACTAACGATCGGGGTATCACTCGCGCGGCGGCGCCTGAGATCAAGAGGCGCGCGCCGGCGCCGCCGCCACTCACGCTGCGCAACCACTCACTCAGCCTCTCAATAATCAGACGAACGATGATCATACACGATTAACATAAGTACGGGCGCGGGCGGCGGGCGCCGCGGTGGGGGAGGGGCGGGAGAGATCCGCGCTCGCCGCCTCGCGCCGGCGCTCGCTCAGGCCGGCCGAGCTGCTCGCAGAGCGGCGCGGCAGAGGCCCGCCTGCTCGGCGAGCAGCTCGTGCCCGAAGACCTGACGCGCTAACTAAAGTCTGCGCTCGCGCGCTTACTCTACAACTATACATTACATATCACGCTGTGCTTTTTTTTCTCTTATTAAAAATATATAATAATTAATATACATATAATAATATTGATATTTGTTAAAATAACGATACGTAGACATCGAGGAGGGCAGTCAGTCGGCTCGCTCGCACCACGCGCTATCACAGGCCGCTCACTCGGCCTGGCTTCGGAAGAGCTTCTTCTTTTCTATCGTGAACTGGGGGCTGATGATAATGGTGCCGCTTCGCGTTAAATTTCTACGACAAAACAAAACAAACGGTCAGTTCGCGTCGATTGTGGCATTCGTCGATAAAACTGTAACAAAAGTACAGAAGGATCGTCTGAAAAATTCGTTAGAAACTCACTTTAAGAATTGCGGCAGCAGGCTGGTCCAGTTCGTGGTGTCGTGCTCCAGATGTAAGTGGATCTCGTGCGTGGTCAACGTGTTGGGGTCTATCTTGAAAGCGGCGAGCCGCCGGCCGGCGACGTCGACGATGAGCGCCGCCCCCCTCGCGCCGCAGGGCTCGCCCTCGGCCAGCGCCAGCGCCTGCCGCGCCGCGCGCGCCAGCAGCTCCGCGGGCACCAGCACCTCCGCCGCGGCGAGCTCGCTGGCGCCCTTGGCCGCTCTCAGCTCCCTCTCCAGTCGCTGAGCCAGCGCCGCTTCCGTCGGCACCGGCATCGGCGCTTCCCGCCATGTCGGCCCATTCCACGCTGAAACAAAAGAGAGACCGGTTTACATTTCGATATCAAAGTCGGAAGCTTGAAAATGCCATTGAGGTCTTCACCTCTCGTACGAACCTAAGTCGAATCTCTAATCGGATCGAATAAAAGTGCAATTTTGACGAACGGCACGAATTTGTGTCGGCTAAATTATGTAATTCCCTCAACTGAGCAAGTCAGCTATATGAAAAGGTAGTAAAAGCGAATCGAACGCAGCCCGCGGGGGGCGCGGGGCGAACAGCTGACGAATCAGCTGAACGTGACAGCCGGCCCGGCCCGTCAGCCCGCGCGCCGGCGACGGTGCCGTCTCGGCTAGGAGGCAAAGCGTACCAGGGCAGCAGTCTCAACCGGAACTTGACGGCTTCGAGCGCTGATGGCGCTGCGGTGCGAGACCGCGGTGGGGCGTGCGCGCGCCGCGTAGCAACAGCCGCACCGGCCGGTAGAAAGCCGCTTCCCTCACCACTTCAGTGAATAGAAAGTAAACTCACCTTTTTCACTGTTGAATCCGACGTTAAACTGATTCGTAACAGGCAGGATCTCCATGTTTTCCAAATTTTTACTTATATTGTACACTTTTAATACGAAAAATTAAAGCGTTCCGTTCCGGAACTTGTATACTAGAAAAATATCACAAGTCTCTTTTGTACTGCGAATGCGCACTGAACGGCCGGCCGCGAGACCGGCGACTAGTATCTAGCGAAGAGATCGACGGGAAATCGAAAATGCCCTGAGTCAACACGACCGCATCAGATCTGATCTCGTAACCACAGGGCTTCGTCACTCGCCCTCGGCTCACTGCTTGACCCACCCGACCCTGTCGCTGTGTATGACGGACTGCCGAGCCCTCCACTGCAGGCCGTTATATATAGAAGGCGGTGCGGGGCGCGCGGGGAGCGCTCCGCGAGCACCGCGCGCTCCCCGCTCGCCAGTTGGCCCCGCGCGCGCGCCCGGCAGCACGTCTGCCGCAGCGCCGGCCGGTTCGCGGTGCCGGCCGGCTTCTTTGTTCCACGCCCGATGGCCATCCGGTGGAACGCCGTCTTCCATCCTCACGATCTCGTCGAGATTTCACCAATAGGTGTATTTATTCTTAGCACTAAGTTTTCGATTAGACTCGATACGACCGGCTTCTGCCTTGTATCTCTTTGTCTTATTGTTCGCTCTTGCTTGATACGAATCCATTGTGTAGGTGTGTTGTAGGCTCGTCTTGTAGTTGTATCACGCAGGGTTAGTGCCAGGCTGGTATCGGTCGCCGAAGTCCATTTCGCATTTTCTAGATTAAGATTTTTTATGTTGCGATCACTTTGGTGTTTTATGTTGTTTTTCATTGTGAATATGTTTTGTGTATTTAAATATTTATTTCGTACATTGTTAAACATCACGTAAGTACTTCGGGCAATGAACAGTGTCCTTGTCGCAAAATCCAAGTCAGCTATATTGTTGATATCACGGTTCAATCTGTAATTAATAATTTTACATTAACTAGTTTAAAAAATACATCAACAGCATTTATGTTGTTATTGTCCCATAAACTGAAGTACTTAAAGACTCGATGTCGTGGCAAAATTAAACCCATCCAAAGTATTTTGTTGAATAAATCATCCACGATAACTTTACTGGCTAATAAGACTCATTAAGGGAACATCGACACCCATTTCAAATAAGTATACCAAAGTCCCAAATTTCACTATCGCAAATTATTAACGCGTTATTATTATTAACGCATTAACGCAGATGAAGATTACAATCCGCTATCATTTATGACAATGGATCAATAAGTATAAGTAGCACTTCATTCACTTTTGACGGATAAATTAGTGTACAAAAAAAGACTGTCGAACATTTCTATGAACGCTTTCGAGGCCTAGGGAAGACGTAAACTTTAAAAATATTTTTAAATATATAAATTTACTTAAAAGACTTGTGGGATATGGGAGAATATATCCAAATTTTGGGACAAGATTAAGCGATCTTTATCAAACAAAATCTAAAGCTGGCTTTCTTACATTCAGTTTACAAATATGTTGAAAAATAATGTATTCGGTCAGTTAGTAAGGTAAATCTGTGAAGTTAACGAAACTGAATGCGTTAATAACTTGTCATGAAAATTAACCAATTGATGGCGGCCAGAACAAATATACCAAAGAACAGTCACAGGAAGTAAAGTATTGCATCAGCCGTCTAGAATTTTCCATACTAAAACTCTCATTGCTTAAAAAAAACGATTCCTTTGTTCCCGTAAACCCCTCTCGACTTCAATGCAACATAATCCATTCTTATTAAAAGAAAAAGTGTCTTGAAATTCTATGTTGTATATCTACTATAATTAAAGATCAACTGAACTAAAGTAATAAATCTAATGCCGATGATAGGCCTTCCGTATTTATGTTACCAACGCAAACTGTGAAAGCTCAAAGAGAAAGACAGACTTCAGAAATTAATGATAAGAGAAATTAAAATTTATTGCCTGGCTATTAACGACGATAGAGCAAAATCTAATTCAGTATAAAAAGAGCTAAGTTGATGTAAGCCATGATATGAATTCGATAAGGTAGGTAGATAGATATATATATATATATATATACATAAACGAGAACGTTCCATTTATAGCCTGCAATCGTATCTTATAGATTACAGTCGGAATAGAAGAAAATCATAGAAATTACGATGTTTTTCGCTCTCTACTTGCACGGCATGGCAACTCCACCAATCGCCGAAACAGTAACCAATTATAAGCGACCGCAAAACCACAAAAAACAATTGAACAAAAAAGAGAAATGAAAAAGCGGTTGGTTGCTACGCGTCGCGTCGCCGGCCGGCGGCTCGGCCTTGGGCGGACGTGACTCACGTTCGGCACAGCCGCGGCGAATTGCTAGCGATACGAACACACTACTAACAAACTGCCACGACCACCAAAAACCTCTTCTCCGTCTCTTTGAAGTTCATGGATCAACTGGCTTATTTTTCATTACTATGCCTATACAGAGGCATACCATTTAGTTGACTGTAAAAATGTATTTATATAGCAAACAATGGGTCGTATAAATGTCACATGCATCGCTGATTAGGCGAAATCGTTCACAGACAATGCATCGCCGTTGCCTATCGCAATATTAGTCGGCTAAAAAGCCCGAGAAAGAGTTACACTTTAATCAACATACAATAGATAACGAGAGGTGAAAATAAGACAGGAGTGTGCTTATTTACTTTTATGTTTCCGCTTTTATCGGTAAAGTAAATTTAAATAAGTGTGTTAAGGCATACGAGTGGAGGTAATTGCTCGAGACTTACAGCCGGTGTCGAGTGTTTTCTTTATGATATAATTGTGTAAGCACTCGCGCCTGATGAATAATGTATAACAACTAACGCATCATTGTCTTGTTGCCTAAAAGAAACAGATATGATTAGCTCTTACACTCTAAGCCACTCGATACACAGCGTCATTTTAGAATTAAAATAATATATGTGTATGTTGACTTCAATTAATAGCATTTTTAGACACCCCGCCGCGCGCCGCTGTGTCGGGTGAAGTATGCAATTTACTTTATTCAATATATTTTACATACAATAACTTCTTTGTTTACTCTGACTAACCGACAAGGGTAAAAAAAAACAATCAATGTCATTCGGGTCGAGAACATTAATAACGTTTAAAATGTGTCAAAACAAAACGTCATTAAACTATATCTACATTTAATCAATGCGGTGAATCATTGATAAAAAGTATTTAGAATGAGTACCTATAGAATGCTGAACCTGTCGCAAGGGTCCCACCCTGTCCCTTGAAACCCGACAGAAGAAAAATGCGAACAATAAAGTCACCTGGTAACAAGTAACATCACTGCCACTGTGGCGATTAGGGTGCGTGACTTGCTCGGACTTGTCCCAACGCGCACGACTCGTTTGCCGCTGTCACCCGTCCCGTCTTGCCCAACTCACAACTTCCTTCCTTAGAAATAGCGTAATATATAAGACAATGTTGTTGTTTGTTACTCTCTAAACAAAATCCGTAATGGTTTGATAAAGCGTAAAAATTTGTTAATTTATTCCACCCTGTTATGCGAATATAGTTTTAGTATCAAGTACAAAAAGCAATCGTAAAGCCGTTCAAAAACATCGTAAAATCCAAGAAAAGCATTAAAATTCTAATTAGCTCGCTCCATAATGCATAAGATTGCCTCACTCTGTTATTTGCCTGTACTATTTATAAAGGCCATTTGAGGCAAATGTTTGTTCAAATATATCCTTTAAGTATGTAGCTCGGGAGATTAAAGGACATGTAATGTAGATTATAATTGCATGCTTTGAGTTGTTGTTAAACTTGTTCGTGTTATATCTAATTTATATCTCCAACGTTTGAAGTGATCAGTATGCTTCGGCCGGTGTCCAGTCGTGCCAAGTTTAGGCAACCACTCATTAGCAATTTTAAACCGGCTTTTGTTTGTGTCGAGTTTCTTAGCGATACACGAATGTGTACTCATTGTTCACGTGTACATATATATATATATATATATACATATACTATATATACACATGTATACATGTATATCTAAGGCCTTGAGTTCGTATGTATGTTTTTTTTATTATTATACCACGCTGTGTTTGAATATTGATTAAGAATTCGAATGTAAACATGTGGAACGAAAAGCTTGTACTGATATGACTTGCAAAATAAACGATTCAAATGTGTTCTTGTTTTTTTTTTTGTGTAATCCTTGATACCTATTAAGATAAGTGCCTTCTGCTATTGTACGTCAGTAGATTGTCATATTTCTCAAGGACTTCAATGACAAACAGGTCTGTATTGTGTAGGTATGTAGTTCTTCGGTATCTCTACATTTTCATGTTAAGTTTGCTGACGAATTAAATTAAAAATGATAAAAGTGATCTCAGAGACTTATTATACAAATACCTATCCGTTAGATGAAAACTACTCGAGTTGCTTTCTGCATATATGAAAATAATTTATTCACTAATAATATCTATACATTTTTCTTAAACAAGAATAATGCAAAAAAGGTTATCGAAGTTATTGTGGAAGAGTTTAAATTATAATTGTTATTTTATCAAATTTCATTGCTTTTTATATTTGGTTAGGTCTATCAAAGAAATATTTTTAGAGAAGAATAGCTGATATATCTATATATTTAAATTCACTGTATTTAAATACATAAGTATATCAGCTATTTGAACCGCCTCAAGTTAACCTCAAAGAGGTTTGCTCGTCGCGACGGCGACGATAACCGCAGTGCTGTTTGGAAGAACACGAGATGTCCTCAGGGTAGGTACACCATCAGCAATAAAAAAAATATTTAACTGGTAGAATCGTGCACGTTACAATATATTTACCAAGTTATCGCAGGTCGTTTAGTGGTCAAGTAATTTAGATAAAAGTAAATTATAACAAAGGCCTGGTTTTATAATAATCAATATACTAAATTACAATAAATTGCCAAGGGCCAAGATAACATTGTTAATAGCTTTCGTTGATTTCACTACACGGTTTTAGATTTATTGCTGCTGCTTTAAAATGCTGTTTAATTAGATCCCTTGACATTTTTGTTCGTTTTTAATGAACTATTACGTTTGAGTAGTTGTCTCGAGTTCACATTTCTATTATTTGAAAACATAAAGATATAGTTAAAGCGACTCATATGGAAACTATCATTTAAAAAAGATTACTAACTAAAACCGACGCCGGCTGGTAACAGAAGACAAACAACACGACTTGTAACTAGGAGAACATACTTATTAGTAAGTATAAATATGCAAATGATACCAAATACAATATCACTTAACACGCCGTTAGCATGTTCATAATAAAAAACTAAAGTGACTTCGTGATACATTGCGCTAATG